CATTGCTCACCTCAGCCCAGCTTGGTGGTCCACGTGGAGAGAGGGGGAAGGGAAGGAGGGTATGGGAACAAGGGAGAGGGGGAAGAGAGTCAGGGAGGTCAGAGTCCGAGAGGTCTGAATCTGAGCCGCCTATATTGCTGACCCACGCCTATATAACTTTTGAGGTCATGCCAGCCCACTAATTACAGGTAGAGACATACGTCACAGGGAGGGGCTACACTATAGGGTACCCAGTAATGAGAGGGTGGTCTAGGGGGTGGTCTCTGAGTCTCCTTAGGAACCATTATCAGTAGGGTGCAAACCTCTCCTACAGGAACCAAGCTAATGGTCCCAAGCTTCAGAGAGAAGTAGTCCATTGTCTCCAGCAGCAGGGAGCAGGCCCACTCCCATGGTGGGATGAGGTAGCAGTCTGGCAGCAAGTATCTGACTTCCCCTCACATGGGGTGACTCCGGGTCCTTACCAGCTGAGCTAAGAGAGCTCTGTGACACTTGCCTGCAAGGCAAAATCCAGGCCCAGAACCAAGAAAGACGGCCATCTAGCAGAAAAGCAACAAAGCCCACATGGAAGACGCACACCAGCCTATGCAATCACGAGGTGTCGATGAGCCCAGGTATCGGAAGATCAAAAACAAACAATTATATCAATGTGAAGGGGGGGTCAGAGTGGAGATCCAAAGCCCATCGGTAGACAACTGGACATCCCCTCACAGAAGGGTCACAAGGAAAGGCGATTCAGCCAGGGTGCTGTATAGCATCAGCGAAACACACAACATTCCTCTAGTCCTTAATGTTTTCTCCCCAACCCCCCACTATCATGACTCCAGTTTGACCTCGCAAATCCTTCTAGAACAGAGTATGTACATAAGAACTTTCAACACATGGAAGCTGGGACAGATAAATCGCAATGAAAATAGCGATACCATGAGGGGAGGGAGAGAAAGAGGGAGCTGGTAGCAGTGATGGATGTATAACCACCTACCACCCCCCAAGGGGGGCAAATCACAGAAACATGGTGAAGGGATACAGCGAACAGTGTAAGATATAAAAAAAAGAATAATATATCATTTATCAAGGGTTCATGAGCCTGGGAGGGGAGGGGAGGGAGGGTAAAAAGAAAAGCGGATAATAAGGGCTCAAGTAGAAAGACAATGTTTTGAAAAGGATGATGGCAACATATGTACAAGTTTGCTTGATATAATTGATTTATGGATTGTTATGCTATCTATAAGAGTCCCCAATAATTTTTTTTTTTTAAAGAAAGAACCAAAGAGGAATCACTGAAACCCTGGTGGAGTCTGAGCATGATAGTGGGACAGGAGGAAAGTCAAGGGAAAGAGAGGAAAGAGCTAGGAGGCAAAGGGCATTTATAGAGGTCTAGATAAAGACATGTACATATGCAAATATATTTATATGAGGATGGGGAAATAGATCTATGAG